CGTTTTGCCGAAGACGCCGTTGCCATAGCAACAGCACCGGAAGTCATCGTTTCTCCGTAGGAGGTCGTAACTTTCCTCCTCTCACTTAAGAACGCGTTTGTGAATACCGTTCTCGCCTCATCTTACGATGATCGTAACTTTACGAACTTCGTAGCTAAGTTGTCGTAGGTAAGAGGTTCTTTATGAATCTGGCCTCAGCTCTTTCGGCGTCCATTTGATGTTCTCGGAGTCGGTCGTTGAGGCATCGCCCCGTTTGCCCGATGTACCTGGTCCCGCAGGACAGGGGGATCGCGTACACTTCCTTCGCTTCCTCTCCTTCCGCAAGATTTCTCTTCCCACGGAGCGGGCGGGTTTTGAGGTTGAAGCCGAAAATAAAGTTCGCTCTTTCCACTTTTTTTTGCGTTTCCTCCTCTCCTGCCCTCCTTTCCTCCCTTCACCGACCTCCCCCGAGGGGCCAACACGGAGAATGGATTAGGAGACGCCTCCGTTAATCCGGCATAACCCGCCGTAGAGGGGGCGTGCTGCTTGACTAAAGATTATCTCGCTGCACAAAAAAAATAAAATAAATAAATAAAAAAAATAAAAAATAAAAAACGTCGCGGGCAGCGATTTAATGCGCTTTGCCGGATGCGTAATGCTTCGTCCGCCTTGAACAAGCTGGTATGCATTGGACTAACATTTTTCGAAGCGCGGCAGGTTTAGTGTAGGTCCTATCATAATGGTCCTGCAAGACTTCCCTGCCCGCCACAAGCTAGCCAATAATTCAAGGACATTACGACGGCAGCGTATTCAAACAGTGTAAAATAAAATGTATATAATATTTATAAGAACACCATCGTCTTCACTGCTTGGCTTTCAAATTTTTAGCGCCGCAAATAATCGTAATCAAAATATTTTTTTTATATAATTGAAGACCCCTCGTCGTGCATCGAACCCAAAATTACGCTTACGTGAAACATGATTCGGCGCGGCAGCAACTCAAGTCACCGTAATTTTTTTTTTTTTTTAACGTGGATTTTGCTTTTTAATCTAACTGAGGTACCACTGGCATAACACGAATCCCATACTTGGAAGGATCTGAAAACTCATATAGCTGGTTGAGTGAATACAATACTATCGCATTCGTTGAAGCTCGATTTGTTGATTCGAACTTCAACAAATCACACGCACCCATTCTCCCTATTTCTGTTTACCCAGTCATAGTCGTTCCCTCACGATGCAATACGAGTACAAGTAACGGCAGTTTATGCAATGTTGACGATACACAGCCGTGATCGCACGGTTTTTAGAAGCGCTATAGAACGAGCACAAGCGTCGAATTTCGGTACTCTGATTGATTTCTGTCTTCCCGCCGTGACACCACACGAGAAAAGCGATTTCGTTCTGTCTGTGAAACTAGGAACAAAGAAATCAAGATATAATCACGTAATAAAACAACGCGAAATGGATCTCTGCAGCCAATACCCAACCGTTCGCGAGGTGACTGGGCAAAAGCATATATTACCTCCGTGCCTTTACCCTCTGCGCACCGCCAGAGGGAGTCATACAAACTCCTTTGCGCTATTATCAACACGATTGCGTTTGCAAGCCGGTAGTTTGACTCGGCTGGGATTCGTCCCTTCTGACTTTCATAGCTCTCTATGAAACCAGAAAGGTAGATACGTTTATCCATTGGGTTGGTTTGCCCGGGGCCTCCAGTTATTTACGGCCAAAATCACACTAGAGGCGCTTCAGCAATGTTCACTCTGGTCGACACACGTGCTCTTTAAAATTGCCTGTCGTCAACTCTTTCCCAAAAGATACTTGAAGAGCCAATCTTAGAGACCGACGGATAACGAGGCCTTAGACCTCAAAGAAATTATAACAGAAATTTGGCGTCGTCATTCCCGAACTGGTTGCCGGACGAAATCCAGGGTTGGTAATAGTAACATAAGATACGTACGGCAGAATTCCCTGCCATAAATAAAATGATTTGGCTAACGCCAATGTAACGCGAAATAGGTGCAAAGAGTTTTGCGATAGGAAGCGTAAACCGAAAAAAAGGAAAAAAAAAGAAAGAAAGAAAGAAAGACTGAAGAAAAGGAGAAATTAGAAAAAAAATCTCTGTTGACTTGGCCTAAAAAAAATTATGTTCATGTGATTTTTCTTGCCACGTGACCAAACAAAAAAAAACGAAAAAAAAAATAACACGAGAAAAAAAAAAAACCCCTGCCCGGTTTCGAAGCTAGGCCCTCTTGATCGTGAAACTAGCGCGCTATCCGTTGCGCCAGCATAACTTTTTTTTTTCTTTCTTTATTGCAAGTTGCGCCAACTTAACTCTGCCTGTAATGCTCACGCATCCCACATCATAGGCGAAAGCTTATTTGCCTTCGCAGTTTTTCATGCATGTGTTATTTTTATTTGTGGCAAGGGTTCAAGTCCAGAATGCTTTCAGAGTTTTCGACCAAAACGAGTTTACTTCATCCGAGTCACCTTCTAGAACCAGTAGACCGCACTGGGTCGTCCGGCTAATCAAGCAGCTATTTTCAAATTCTCTGGCGTGCCCGTCCTCGGATTCGAGGTCGCTGTTTGACAAGCTTAACTTTCTTCCACCTGGTAGCCGGAACCTCCACGGCCAGCTTTGTTCCGTCCCCACTCCCTCTCGAGAGGATGGCTCGCCCCGAGGCTAATCCCATTCTCTAAACCTCTTTCCATCCAACGGTTGACCTTTCCCTCCCCGTCCCCCAGCTTCGGAAGTGAAGGTTCTTCTCTGCAGAACGTCCCGTTTGTACAGCGGCTTTAAAGTTCAGAGATTGTCCTGTCTTTATCGTCCCTTTTGTGTCTCCACTTTTTAATGTTTAAAAAGTATCAACACGCTAAAATAGTACAATTTCCGGGATTTCATTTTCATCCCCCAAGTGTGATGCGGGAACCGCGCGATAGAGCCACGGTCGTTTCCGCACTTTGTTATCGCTAGGATTTGACAGTGCTCAATCACAATGCAAGACACGCACAGAGCCACGCTAGCTTTTGCAATGCGCCGCATAAAGGGGTGTCCAAACAGGACACGACTCCGACAAATCGTGAAAATTGAAGCGGGCTTGAAGCGGGCGTGTCCGCTTCAATTTTCACGATTTGTAGGAGTCGTGCGTTTTGTAGTGTCCTGTTTGGACACCCCTTAATAATGATATATCTTGTTGAGACGTGCGCACATCCGTCTTGCGCAGTGTTAGCTCAATGGCAGCACTTTCTGTAAAGGCGGATTCACACCGGGGATAGCAGTCGCGCGATCCAGCTAAATCGCATCGCAAAAAAAAAGAAAAAAAAAGTAATTAGTTGGTCAATTTGGCGTGCGCGATGAGCGAGTCCAATGCCTTCGTTGGCGAGTCGCGTCTCAAAAACTCTCGCTCCGAACGCCGTTGGTTGGTTCGGCCTCTCCGCGACTAGAGTGCATCGCAACACGTCGGGTCAGCAAGCGACTGCTCAAAACCCGTCACGTTTTGCCCGCGATGGTCGCTTTTGCGATGAAAGTTATGGCGCGACTAGATCGCATCGCCGGTGTGAACGCGCCATAATGTCGAACCAGTCTCACGGCGTGTCCCGATATTGGCTTGTGTACCTACGCGCGAGTAAAACATCTGGCACAATTTGCGTTTGCAAAGAATGCTCCAGGCGCGTCAAAATATTCAGCCAACCTTTGGTCTGCAGAAATCAAGAGACAACCAAAATAAAATAAAGTTGCCAGCCGAATAAAACTTGATTTCTATTTAATTAAGATGAAGACCACCCGCGTACATCAAATACCTCATCAGCCGAACTCCAAGGCAGTAATCCTAGTCCTGGCACTTGTTTGGCACCTTTGGCCCGTCGCTGCCAGATCACAGCCAAACTATCGGGAAGCGAAGCCTAACTTAGGCACTCGCTTGGCGACTTGGGCCCAAAGATGCCAGATCTCAACCGAACTACAAGGTAGTAAGCCTAACTCTGGCACATTTGTGGCGATTTTGGCCCGAATGTGCTAGGTGACAGCCGAACTGTCAAAAAGTGAAGCCTAACTTTGGCATTAGTTCGGCGATTTTGGCCCGAAAATGCCAAAGCTCTGCCGAACTATAAGGTAGTAAGCCTAACTCTGGCACATCTGTGGCGATTTTGGCCCGAATGTGCCTGGTGACAGCCGAACTGTCAAAAAGTGAAGCCTAACTTTGGCATTAGTTTGGCGATTTTGGCCCAAAAATGCCAAAGCTCTGCCGAACTACAAGGTAGTAAGCCTAACTCTGGCACATCTGTGGCGATTTTGGCCCGAATGTGCCAGGTGATAGCCGAACTATCAAAACGTGAAGCCTAACTTTGGCCTTAGTTTGGCGATTTTGGCCCAAAAATGCCAAAGATCTGCCGAACTAACGGGCAGTAACCCTAAATTTGGCATTTGTTAGGCGATTTAGGCCCGAAGATGCCAGATAATAACCGAACTACCCGGCAGCGAAGCCTAAGTTTGGCACTTGTTTGGCGAATTAGGGCCAAGATACCCAGACTGTTGCCAAGGGAGGTCAGGTTTGGCACTACTTTGGCTTCTTCGGGCTTTTTAATGCCCTAAACTGCCAGACGCAAGCCAAGTTTTGGCCCAGAACTCGGTGCTGCCTGGGTAGTGCTGCTTTATTTTTAGTATTTGTATATAGAAAAATTAAAACATAAAATGAGAAGCCAAATTCAGAATGGACCGGAAGTAATGTGCTTTGTGAAGCGCATCTTACGCGAACACTGAACCAGCATTCGCGTAAGGTATGTCGTGGCAATTACCTCATTTGTGTTGCTGCTTTTTGCGAAAATATACTTAGTTGTTAATATAACATCGTATGTAAGTAGGGATGCGAAAAATAGTTGAGATCTCAATAACTGACGTTTCTACCGGAAATAACCTTCGTCGTAATAAGGTTCTTGCTTTCAGAGCCGTGTCATACCCATGCTCACATACGTGAAGCATTTAGTGCTGTTTGTTGTTGATATTTTTTAGTTGGCTGAAGACTGGGTGTCAGGAAAGCAATGGGTCAAGTGGAGAACGTACACTGCGCCGACGCCACGAGGAGGGTATAAGTGTGAATACGCTCGAATTGTTGGTGTTGTTGACGGTGAGGGACAGAAAAACTACACCTTGGAAGTAGGAGGCAGATATCAAGAAGCGTAAGTACCTTGCACTCAATTTATACTAAATTTATTTACATAGGAACAGGCCATTACACTAATAATTAAAAGCTATCAAATTCCTTCAAATCGGCTACTTTTTAAAGTAAATATGTAACCATTGAATCACTCTTCTTAGGTAGGAATCACCAGAGTAATGATATTATTTTGAAAGCGAGGATAATATACTTGTAACCATCATAATTTCTTCCAAAGCCCCATAGGTTTTCTGGTTTACGACTACTCAAACGCCACATTCACAAGTACAAGTGCTAAAATGTGTCCACTTCGTCAGCGTTCAAACCTTCTGAACCACAACAAAATAGTACGATTCCTATCGAGCTCTACGAAATAATGTCGCACTCTTTGTCTGAAAAACATATAGGAGTTTGCAGGATTTTACTGTCAGCTTCTTTCTAATAAAAATGGCCACTCAGTGCGATATTCGACGGTTAACCTAGTATCCGCGTCTTTATCAACCGTTCAAATAATTAGTATCTCTCTTTAAAAAAAAAAAAAGATCTGGATCAAAATGCCTTACTTTTTCAACTCGCAAGATAACCAGAGATAGGCAATGTAAATGCTGACGTGTGACCAAAAAAGTGATATATTTGTCACATCCACATTAGTGATTGGCGCACCAGAGGAATCAAAAGGATGACTATTCCGCTGATTCTAATATATAAATGCACGTGACAAGCAGCCCGATTTCAAAGTCGTTAAAGAATTGTAAATACGTTTTGTGTGACATCTTAGAACAACCGCTTGTACAAACATTTATTCATATTTTTAGTTTTCTCCTGAGACTTTTTTATGACGTGGCTAAGTTCATCAGATATTGACAATATCAGTACAAAAATAAGTATATGTTTAATGTGCAAAAACATTAGTATTACCTAGTAGAGCTTATAAGTAGAACGCCACTTCTTTGTTCATCAGGAAAGGATCGAGATGTTCCCGGCTGTATTGCCAGGAACATCTTCCAGAAATCTCGCAGCTATGGAAAACGGTGTTCTGATTCAGAGGATGATGACGATGATGATAATAATAATAATAATAATAATAATAAGATATTGTTCTGGTACTGTTTTATATTTTATATAAAATAATATATAAAATATATTATGTAAAATATAAATATATGATATTTATATAATTTTTGGTGTATATTTTAGTGTTCCAATAAGTAAACTTATTGGAACACTAAAAATATAAACCAAGGCATCGACCATAATACATCAAAACATTGAACAGTTTCGCCCTCACACCGCATGGGCACTATCAAAACAAGACAACGCAGTACATTTTATCAAAGCGCTTCCGCTGCATAATCGCAAAGCAAAAGTCGAGCTTTTTCCCCCAACTTCAGCCGCGAGTGGCAGCCGAAGGAACTACGGCGAAAAGCTTACGGGACCTCGCTCGGCTCTAAGCTGCAGCATAACGCCCGCTAATGTCAGCAGAGAAAGGGAGAGGAAGCGTCCTCCGAGAGAGCACACGGGAAGCTACACGGTACCCCCGAATTATGTCGCTAAGAGGGGGACTAGGTGTCAACCTGAGGACTGGGATTGAGTTGAGGGGTGCCAGAAATGGCAATATTTATCTTTTTTCTACACAACAACTAGGACACGCAGGCGAAATCGGTTGTTTGTCCTTTACTTTAGAAGTGTCAGAGGGCAACTTCCACAAATGTCTGACCGAAGTTCGGAAATCGTTGCACCCCCCCCCCCCCCCCCCCCCCCCTTTAAAGGCTAAGCTCAAGCGTCCTCCAACTTTCTGCAGTGACACTTTCAAATTTGATATGTATATATGACTACTTTGAGCTCTGAGCTGATGTGATTACAAGACTTATATGATACCGTCCGTCTACGTGCTGTCAATTTAATAGAACAAGAAAACTAGTACGCTATCGTTCTCTTTGCTCATTGCACTCAGGAATTAACCCAGCTCAATAGGTCTCTAAAAAACAACCAGTCAATATGACAGTTCTCGCTTTCCTGTCGATTTTCATTACACCACTCTAAACAAATACTTGTATTGTAATGGTGATAATGCTTTTAAGGCGAGAATCCCGAGCTCGCAGTTTTATCTTTGGCAGTTGCTCATGCTTATCGAGAGTTTGCACAGCCGAGATGCATCCTCCAACGAAGAGCTCTCACTTGCAGTTTAGGAGCAGACCTGTTGTACATTACAAAAAAATAAAGCGAAACAGACAATGGACTCCTTTCAAAACCGACGCCACGCAGTGCACTCTGGGAACTAGTTGGCCACTCAGTTTTGCTTTCGACTGAGCAGCTCCATCTCATGCTATCGCGCCGCGACCGAACGCGCTGCTTGCGTTTTCGATTATCTGACTTTTCACGAACGTAAAATACACTCATTCTCGAGCGATATAGAACGAAGACTGGGGCACTTTCCTTGCTTCCCGAAACACCGGATATTATGAGTGCGTATGCAAACGTAGTAAGACGGGGCTTAGTCACCTCACCTTTGAGTTCGATTTCAATAATCCCGTCTAGTACCAGTGAACTACAACTGAAATTTGATCACCTGGAGCCTTACATGTATTTTGTTTGCCAAACGTCCGCTTCTTGTTACTTCATTGGGCGAAAAGCAAGTCGCATCCTCGCAGGAGTATCAAAGTTGAGCCCAGCGTTGACGAATGAACTTTTAGGGAAACGCAATAAATTCAACCTCACTGCTGCACCAAAGTTACTGTGATGTCTTTCTCGTGTCATCATATATCTCCCGCTTAAATTTTATGGTGATAGAAGATTAAGTTTTCGCAAACGCTGTGATTGGCTAGCTACGACGGAGGCTCTAACAAGCGTCCCCTACTCCTCGCTAAGCCTTTTTGGACGAGCTTTTACTGACGCCCAAGATCTGTGCCTGAACGGTGTGTCTGAAATCATATCAGCATATTTAGGCAGAAAGAAAGCAGACATAACCAATATTAAGGCCATTAGCAACTGTCAAATGCACTTTGAATAATGTCATCGTTTGGCGCACTGCATGCCCGCCCGGCGTACTTCTGGCGAACGGTGCGACATTTTTCACACAAGTGCTCGACTTTTGCTTTCTTAAAACGGTTGTATGTGCGAATGTGCCTATACGATTGCAGGATAACATTATGCGCAAACGCGATGTTGAATATTAGTAAAATGCAAGTGGGTGGCGACTTCGCTTCGTGCAGTGGTGCGGGTCAGTACAGGTAAGAGATAAGAAGTGTGCTATAATTGAGCTTTTCAATGGCGCCTCCGAGTTTTACCTCGCCTACTAAGGTGTATTAAGAGAACGGTAATTGCAAAAAGTAATATTTCGTCTATGGACGCACAAAACAAACTTCCTGATCAACAACACTAATGTAAAGGCGCGAGCTAGATGGATGCATACTTATTGGTTGCTACAGCTTGTTGATTCGTACACAAGCAAGATCCCCGAGCTTAGCAGCGTCGACATTCCCAGCACTGGCTCGTCCACATACCTCGAAACGCTAACAGAAAGGCTCAAGTACAAAAATACAACAAGCATTTGTTACTGGTCATTTAGGCCAGTTTAGAGACCACAAATGACGCTCTCGGGACCAGAAAACATGAGATAACAGCCGTTAATAGTCCACGCTCTGTGTGTAATCTCTTGTCCACGTGTCGATCGAAACCGAAACCAGGCCACTCTCCTCCCTGGCCAACTACTTTCCAGACTGCAACGCGCGCCGTGTTGCATGCAGGGCTTTATGGAAGCACTCTATTAAACTATGTGAATACGTTAAAAGGGCGGAGCTACTGTAGGTGTAAACCATGTGAATATGTTAAAAGATCAGTGTGACTTTTTGAGCGAAAGTGAATGGACAAGATGAGGTCAATATGGCGCATGCCATTTCTAGTGCTTGTGACTTGGGAACCGGGACTCGTAGCCGGTTAGGCCTGCGACCAGGCGTGTTTGAGAGCCCTGCTTTAGAGGTTATACACATGTTGTTGTTGGAGATTTCTATTACATGTACAATGGGGTTCGGATGAAAAGCAAACAGTGACGGAACGTCAAGCGCACCACCAGCACAGCTTGGAAAATTGGGTTGTGCTGAGCAAGGTTCAAAGACTTTAGAGTAGGACGCACACGCCCTCAGCGCCCTAGTCTTCACCCCGGAGTTTCGTCAGTTTCAAGATGCCTCCAGGAATCGCAGCATTTGCCGTCGGGCACACGCTCCACTTTTCGAATTTCATTTGAACCCGATAGTACGACATTTCAATGCGCCACACGCTGTGGTTCCGGTGAGCCTCATGTTCAGGACGCTTCGAACTAAGGGAGGGCCTAGGTTGGCGCATCAACGGTAAGTGAGGAAACGCGCTTTAAATATAATTTTAGAGGTTACGAGGTGGAATGTGGGGCTGATCATTGCTTTGCCGAGCTTAGTTGTGTAGTCATGAAAAAAGAAATAAGAAGGTGGCCCTCTGGCTTAAGTCTTGGTTGGGGGAAAAGGGCGTCGTGTCTGGAGATGCCGGAGACACGACTCCTCACACTGCGGAGAAGCCCTAGTAGATATCCGCGTTGTATAAAAGAGATAGCCAATGTCATCGCAGAAAACCTTGTAGAAGCAGAGAAATCGTTAGAAAGGATTGAAGTGCATTTGGGATATGTGTTCTTTCGAATAGCCGAAAAAGAAGTTGTGGTTCTCGGTAGGTTTATAGCAGACTTTTGTCCGCTACTTTAAAAATGTATAGGATTACAATAAGAAATGACTTTCGCTGAAAAGTAACAGATTATTTTATTCGCTACGTTACAGAATACTTTCACGTTAATTTCCCCGTACACTTACCAAAAAAATAATAGAAGCTTTCAGCCTTTCCACTCTGGTGAAGAAGGAAGAGCAGCAGAGCTGTACCATGTGCCGCCATTTATTAGCGACGGCGGCAACCAGACAACCGCCAAACCAGTTGTCTGGTTGCTGCCGTCCCTCATAGATGGCTGTAGCTGTCCAGAGGGTTGTGTCCAGATTTATTTGTTCA